ATCAAGATGATCAATTTGATGTATTTTTTAGTATCTATTAATTGGTTTTTGATGTTCACCTTACTTTGATAGTATAAGGTTGACACCTTGTATAATATCAATAATCCGATATTAGCTTGTATTTTATACTAACTTGGGTAGAATTTTTTTATGCAAAAATTTAGGAACCACCTAAAAATCTTAGATGATTTCAAAAGACAAAAAAAAAATTTAATTTAGAGTTTTTTAACACAAATTGGATGGTTTCTATTTAATCTTGAGGTATTTTTCCTGTAAGCCTGTAGAGAATACAATTTAATTTAATTTAATTTTTTTTCATAAGTATAACATATCGTTGCATATGGGTTGCTGAGGTTACACCGGAAATACAAATACAAGAACCCTGTGCACCAGAAGAAATAAAACTGAATGAGCAAAACGATTAGAAGGTTCTTAATTCAGAATATTTTAACATAGAACCGGTCTCTATGAAGAAAAAGGATGTCATCAAGTCCATTATCACAAAGGTTATGACAAATTCTGATAACACTTATAAAAGTGTTCCAAAGTAATTCAAGGGGATAAGGAAATCTCCAATGAGAAGCATTCTATGAAAAAAAAAGGATGTCATCAAGTCCATTATCACAAAGGTTATGACAAATTCTGATAACACTTATAAAAGTGTTCCAAAGTAATTCAAGGGCATAAGGAAATCTCCAATGAGAAGCATTCTATGAAAAAAAAAGGATGTCATCAAGTCCATTATCACAAAGGTTATGACAAATTCTGATAACACTTATAAAAGCATTCCAAAGTAATTCAAGGGGAAAAGGAAATCTCCAATGAGAAGCATTACAGAATGCTCAAAGCATAGAATGCCAAAGGAAATTAAAATTGAGACTACTGGTACAAATCATCGATTCATAAAAATGCCAAAAGAAGGCGTATTCAAGAAATGAATTCATCTCGATCATTCATAGCATTACACATACTCAACCATGAAAACCAGGTTAACGAGGAGTCTTCTTTTTCCCAGCAATAGCAACCTTCTTTCCCTTCAATGTCCTGCAGTTATTCTTGGTATGCTGCCCTCGACATGGTAAGCCCATAATATGTCGTACTCCTCTGTAGCACTGAATCTCTTTCAATCTCCTAATGGCAAGGGCATTGAAACGCCTCTGCAAATTTAAAAGGCAATTCAAAAGAACGTCAAGTCAAAATAACTAAATCACAAGAAGCATTCTATTTCATCTGTGTATACATGTGCACGGACACACCCGTCCACACATTGTGTGGATGTGCAAGCATATTTGTAAGTGCGCATAATGCACACATACACCCACATAATAAGTATGTATGGGTGCATGTAGGCGTGTTTAATGCAGTGCATATATGTATATGTCTTGAGATGCACAACATGCAGCTCGCTTAACATGTCTCCTCCAAGAGCACTACATTGATTTAGTTATGTCAACAACTTAAAGATGGTATGGTGGGGTGGGGACCAAAAATATTAGGTTCTTTGGTCTCCAAGCAACCAAATATAGCACTGATATCATTTAAGGGGTTCACATGAAGAGCCTTAGCACCCAGTGCCTCTAGGAATTCAACAAATAAAAAATATGAAGGCAGCCCAAAACCTCACAAATGCAGCTGCAAAATAAAAGAAGAGAGAATCTTCCTAAATTTATGGCATGGCAAAAGTACTCCCATTCAAGTACTTTTGCTTAAATTCTGTTTTTATTGAAAGGTCATTATGGGATTAGATGCTGGGATATATTGTCCATCGCCAAATCATGCCAGAGCTCAAAAAGCCATAGGGGAAAGGATGAACAGAGGAATTCTCAAGAGTTCATTCTCCATAGCTGTTTCCCAGAAGAAGTCGGCGAGAATAGTTAACAAGTGGATTTCTGCAACATGGAATAAAACAATGACAGTTGTACTGAAGGACTTGCAGGAAGGCTATACAAGTTGCACCTCAAAAACAAAATATATTAGAATCCTAACAGAGGTTGGAGAATAGTGAGTCTTCATTGGCCATTGAAAGAAAGTTCTGAAAAGGTATCTGGCTATTGGCATGATATAAGCATAGTTCAAGCTGATATTGCAGATAGAACACAACAGTCGGTCCTTTATGGAAGGGCATTATCGCATATAATAGTTAAATCTCATATCCCCCAAAGTTTCTAGAAAATTGGGAGAGTTTGACAAAGAATGGCATCAAAGAATGAAGATAATGGTGGTGGGTCTCAACACCCTGCCTTCCCCTAAAAGGGTCTATGATTAGGGTTATTTGAGGGAACCAGGATTAAGTCTTGAAGTAATGAATAGGGCTGTGATGCTATGTTGCAGACTCGATTCTACAAACTTGATTGTTTAGCATGTAGTCCAAAGGTATTAGTTAATGACCTATTCAAGAATGCAGAGTTTGAGTTTTGTGGTGCCCTTGATTTAGAAGGGACCTTAGGGACAGGCAGGATTCTCTGGACTTAGGGCAGTGATGGCGGGTTCCTGCTCAAGTCTTTCTTTTGCATGCTACAGCGCTGGAGTGAGGACAATCCAAGGGGTGTGTCTTCTGTTCATGTGAAATGTCTTTGAGTTTGAGAAGTCAATGATCTTTTCCTACAATAATCTTCAAATCATCAGGATCATCATCCTCTCTTTTTAATGTTCTTTCACCATAAAGATCAGAAGTAGAAGTTATAGGTTTGTGGTTCTTTGCCCCTTTTAAGTTTAACCATAGAAGTTGTTAACTAAAGAAGATGAAGATGAGTCCTTTGATGATATGCGTGCCATGTCAAAGAAGAGAAATGACAAAAGCATTCAAGAGGGTCTCGTACTTTGACGGGATGAGACTCATATCTGGGAAGCTATGATCTCCTAGGCCAATTTAATGAGGAAATCAATGGGATTCATGCGGGAGAAGAGAGGATGAGAGTCGCAAGAAAGAGTGCTCCTATTCTCAAGATTCATGTTAGAGCACCTCAAAGGGTGCCATGAACTCAAATTTGCAAGTAGTTAATGTTTTGGAGTATTTCTCAATTAGAACATCCAACAATTCGTACATGGCAAACCTGTAACCAAAAACAAGCTTAAAACCTAGGGACATGCATCTGAGCATCATTTTATCCAATCTAGGCCGTTGGGCTTACACTATTCCACCAGCTAGTGGGCTGACAAGATCATTTCCCATATATATCGAGATCAAGAGAGAGAGAGAGAGAGAGAGAAGTGGGGCGTGTCTGCCTCCTGTTTAGAGGAAATGTGATCCAAAAAACCTCGGCAACGTGCCGAGACCAAGTAACTTGGCCGAGTCTTAAAACACTGATATGAGCTATCCATACATATGTTTTGGGGCCCTTGACGATGGAACCTAAATCATCCAATTTTAATAGGTGTGCACTTTCAGACTCGCCTCTGGAGGATTGCGACTAATTATAAAGGATATCAAATTTAGGAACAAGGTGGTGAACAAACTCCACCACTTACTCTGAGTCTGTAGAATGGAGGAGTGTGCAAATAGTTCCTCCCTTTTTGGGGTAATTACCAATTGTATGGTTCATTCAATTTATGAGTCTATGTTCTATTGTTATTGCTAAATCCATGTACATCTTTGTTTGTCAGAACTTTTAGAGCAACTTAATGTATACTTCCCCCTGATCGAAAACTAACTCGATGTATACTTGTTAAATGATAGTCTAAGGAGAAAAAGTATCAAAAAATAAAAAAGGCTATAACAGAATGAGCCTAACTTATTCTATCAAAGAAAAAAATGAGCCTAACTTACCAGGTCACCCTCAATCATGTACTTTGAAACCTCATCACGAACACTTTTCAGTTCCTCTTCAGATAGGTCCTTAGTGATTTTGTTCTGCATCCCTAAATCACAGAGAATCTGGAGAGCTCGTGTGCGACCGATCCCATGTATATACTGAAGCGAATACTGCACCCTCTTGTTGTTGGGGATTTCCACCCCTCCAATGCGAACACATTTAATACTCAAACCCTGGAACTACACGAATGACAAAAACAAAAAACTAATGAGCTGAAACCATATGAACTGAATTCGCAATCCAATGAGCCCCAGGAGACCCAATGGAATTTGCAAAAATTTACTCTCACAAATTAAGATTATTTTAAAGGAATCTAAGAAGCATCCACTTCAGGAAACACTGAGAATGAAGGGAGATGGGATACTACTAGCTAAGGGAACAATTTCTAAAAGTAAAGAAGATAATTTACCAGAAGTAGAACACATACACAACATCAAGAAAGGAAATATAAATACTAATAAACAGCCCCACTGACATCAAAAGTTAGAGATGCTTGATGCAACAAAATCCAGAATTATTTTCTGTTAATATTCATCTCAAACGAACAAGAAAACAAAGACCGGATATATATAAACCATTAATCAGAAGACACTTAATAACCCATCACTTTTATCCATCAACAGAAAGTGAGACACCCAAAGTTCAATCTTAAACTATGAAAGAAGGGAGTAGAAGCCTAACAGAAAAGCCCCATTAAACGGAGAAAAAATAGAGATTTTCAATAGTATGTACTGTGAAAAAATCAAATATACCCTAAAACAGAAGAATTTGCGGAGCAAAGGCTTGAGTAAGAGTGCAAAGCCACAAAATTGCCTAAAGCAAAAGAATTTGCATGAATATCGACATATATTACGCAAAACCTTGACCATGAAGTAAACTATACTAGCACAATCGACGATGTCCTAAAACATACGAATTTGAGTGAAACTAATCCATTTTAGGGCAAACCTCTAGCGACTGTGAAGTAAAAGCGTACCATATATAACACACAAATATGAAAAAAAAGGATTTAATTATGGAAAATCTTCGCAATTTACTAGTGCGAGAAACCAATTTTGCCCTAGAAGAGACGAATTGAAAGGTGAAATGGGAGATTTGAGGAAAACCTTTAGTGAGAGAGAAGAAGTGGAGCTAGGAATTGACAAAGAAGAAGCATTTCCTCCTTTGTTGAGAACTGAGAGAGCTGGAGCCACTGGGATCGCAAAAGTTTGCGCCATCTTTGCGAAGCTTCTCTCTGCAACCTTTGAAACGAAAAGCACAGTAACTCCCCTTATCCAGACCGGCGAAATGACTATTTTGGCCCCAGTGACGTGGAGAAATAGTTACCTAATACCCCGTGATTGGTACCCCTAACTTATTACAAATGACATGGAGCTCCTGCGAGCTCATGAAGTGTGGTTAAAGGGAAAGGTATCATAGTTCTCCTATAGATCAAGGAAGCCACCAACATTTTGATTTCGATCTCACGCATTGGAGTATTTTATTTTTAGTTTTCTTTTTACAAACGGTATGAAAATGATATTTGGTACGTACCTTCTTTTAAATGGAGTGCATATAAAAAAAATGTTAAAAGTTTTTTTAATAAAATATAATGTATCAAAATACCTCTAAAATATTTTAGGGGTATTTTGGTTATTTTATTTTATTGAAAATATTTTTTTATATATTTTTTACAAATGTGAGTTTAAGAGAGGAATGGTAGTCTAAAATTTGGTGTCAAAATAATTTGTACGAACAAATTAAAAATAAAATAGTGAAGAGATGTGACATTGTGATTAGGATCATCTCAGTTGTTCATTCATAATAGATGGTTGTATAGAGGGAAGTATACGAGTTTTATGCAGTAAGAGAAGCATAGAGTGCTTGTCCCATTCTAAAAGCAAACGTTACATGCTTTTCTCTTAATGTGTAGTTGTTATATACTTCCCCTAATGTACAGTAGTTATCTATTTCTCCTTAATGTTGGATCTGAATGAATGGTTGAGATAGATCTAATTACAACGTCACCTCGTTATACTATTTTATTTTCAATTTTTTTTTACAAAATATTTTGACACCAAATTTTGACTATCTACTCCTCTATTAAACTCGCAACTAGAAAAA